GGGTTATGGGTCATTTCGGGTTATGAGCGTTCTCAGAAACAATATCAAACATGTTTTATATTTTCTTAAAGAACACAAATTTTCACATATGCATGACAATCGTTTACCTAACACATGTCAATTAACATATTCTCAAATCCTCCCACGCTAATGAAATATAAATTGCGCAAATCGTCAAAAAACAATCACAAGAGTAATACTAATACAAGAAACACTTGATATTCGATTACCCTTAAACTCCAAACATGTCATTCAAATCCTTGTGATTTTTTTAAACATCTCACCAATTTATGAGTGATTTTATCATATTTTGGGAGTAATATATTAAATGGAACGGGTCTACCGGGTCGACCCGCTAACCCACCCAACCCGACCCAAAAAATCACGGGTTATCGTGTTTGGGTCATTCGGATTTCGGGTTACAAAAAATTCTAGTTTTTGGGCGGTTTCGGGTCGGGTCAACGGGTCGGGTTATAATTTGCCAGGACTAATACTGACGATACCAAGTTAAAAAAACTTTGGTGTTCTGTTTCTCGTTCTTCATTATTTGACTCGAAGGATTGTGTTTTGTTGTTGTATGTCTATATATAATGCCTTAATTAATGTGACCATCTCCCATGCAGCTAGGGATGGTCCTCCTGGACCATGAGGGAGTGATCATGTGGGCTACCACCGTTCATTTCCCCGGGATGTGTGACCCCATGCTGGTGGAACACTTGGTCCTTCGGGAGGGGATCATGTGGTGCGTTCAAAAGGGTTTGTCGGTGGTTCGGTTCGAGGGTGATGCTAAGGTTGTTATTGATAGACTTAACCAAACTCAAGATAGTGATAGTCGTGCTGGTGCCATTTTCCGTGAAGTTTTGCACTATCTGTCTGAGCATATAGGGTTTAGGGTGCGATTTATAGGTCATCGTAGTAATAGGGTAGCCCATTTGGTGGCTCGCAAAGCCCTTTCCTTCTACCCTACCATGTGTCGCTCTTTTGATTTTGTGGCCTGACTTCGTTTCAAGATGTACTGATTTATTTCTCAATCAATATATATGATTATCTTTCGTAAAAAAAAAAAGTAATATTTACTCGGAGACAAGTTTGAGTTAATTATTCTTAGGGTTAATTGTCACTATAACCAAGTTTGAGTTATTTAACACTATGAAGAGTCTTTGTTTAACTATAAGGAGAGCGTTTGTCTTTTTCCTTGACGAATAATTAGTCTAACTGTCTAAGTAGATGGAGTCTTTGTTTAATTACAAGGTGAGTCTTTGTCTTGTGTCTTAGTGAATTAAATTTGTAAAATCAAGAAGACGAAGCTTCATAGAAAAGCAACGTGGTGGACTAAATGCAATGTGAACATACCATTTTTGTATGGCTAACTTAGTGGGTCAGGTAGGGATTTAATTCAATACACTTTTGTAGTCATAATCTTTAAATTTGTAACAAATGTAGTCATTTTTTTAATAATGACAAAATTCATCATTTAATCCACATAATTTGTTAAGTTTAACGGGACTATTATGTACAAAACACTAACAAGCAGGGAATTGATCTGGATTTTTTCTCAAAATACATTTGTATAGCGAAAAATTTGATCTATGTGATAAATATATCCAAGTCTTTATAATGTAAATATAGCTATTTTTATAATAAGAAATATTGCCATTTTGTTTAAAATATCAATTTGAAGAAGAAGAGATTATATGTGATTTGAAAGAACAAGGAGAAAAAGAAAGAACTTAGCGTATGGGACTAGAAAGAGTAGCATCATCATTGGCGAAACAAGAGTGTCACAGCATGGAATGATTCATTGGCGTCAGCCACCGGCCGGCTGAATTTGTTTAAATACTGATGGGTCTGTAAACCATGATACACCAAGCAGCGACGGTTTCAGGATTGGGTAGAGCATTGGGTCACATTGAAAAAAAGCAGAAAAGATTGAACTGTAACACGACGAACACCGAAACGAACACCAAAAATAAAAAATTTACAAGTGCTATACTAGCTCCGGATCGAATGAGGACTGGGCCGTGGCCCGAGAGCGGCCACCTCTAGATCCGCCGCTGCCACCAAGCACGACGGCGGCAGGTATTATTAGAGGTGATGATGGGCCCTTTATTAGAGCGTATACAGTGAACCTTGGGGTTGGGGGAGGCTCCATCACCCATGCAGAATTGGCAGCCATTATGCACGGTCTTAAGATTACTTGGGATCTTGGGATTAGGAAGGTCATTATACAGACTGACTCGCAGACAGCGATCAGTCTCATCCAGTCCGCATCACCATCAAATCCGCATGCAGTCTACATTGCGGAAATACATCGACTTCTGGCCCTGCAGTGGCAGGTCCGCCTTGAGCATACCATAGACCAGGAAACCGGATCGTACCGGCCGGTTCAATCGGTTCAACCGGAAATTGGACCAAAAGCGGTTCGATGGGCTGATTGTGATGATTTTACCGTGCCGGCCGGTTTTTTCTGTTTGACCGGTTGAACCGGCCGGTACGATCCGGTTTCCTGGTCTATGATTCAGCTTCATTTCTCCGTATTCTCGTCCAATATGTGGAAAATAATTAAAAAAAATATTATTTTGCTATTTTTCTATGTTGAAAATGGGTCACCGTGGTTGTATAATGCTCTATTTGGTTCTTTTTTTGATGGATTATATTTTTTATACTATCGCATTTCATTTCTCTATCAATAGTGAAAAACGGTATTTACCAGTACAAAACGGTTGAACCACGGTCATACCACAAAATACCATACCAGAAAGGAATCCGGTATGATGTCTGGTACGGTTTCGTTTACCATGGAGCATACTTATCGGGATGGAAACTTTGTAGTGGATTTCCTTGCGTCGTTGGGTCACTCTATAGCTATTGGGGAACATGTGTTTACGTCTCATTTTCCTTTGCTGAACTATTGGTCGTACTATGATCTTATTGGGGTCTCGACCAAAAAAAAAGAGACTAAGATTTATTTTTTGGCCAAGAAAACTTTTTCAAAAAATAAAATAATTATTTTTATTCAAATAATCTTCTTAAAGAGAGATTCAACCGATTTCTGAGGTTTTTTCAATTAAGTCAATTTTTAGCTAACCTAAGTTGATATAATAGCATATTAGCGAAAAAATTTGACTGATCATTTTCTGTTAGTCTAGTCAGCAATATTAGGATTTATGTTTTCTGCCTCCCTCAATCAGGATCGGGTGCTCCAGGAACAGTTGTTCCTTTTTTCTTTTTCTTTTTTTTTTTGTGCTTCTTCGGTGGTGTAGATGTTGCTTGAAGATCCTGAGGCGATGGAGCCTTCAGCTCTCCAGTCTGGACCTTATTTGGTAGCCGACTGATTGTGTGGGGTGCTTGGACTTTGGGTCTGCTTTTTTTTCTCTTTCATCTTCTTTTCCTTACGTTGTAAACTTGTAATGCTCTTTTGATATTTTCTCTTGGTCTGACTCATTTGGTATTTAAGCGAATGTGGCGGCACTTATCATGACACGTAGTGACAAACTGGGAATCTCCAGTTGTGTCATATGTGGGTAGATAGACCTCCGTTTTTTTTATCGATCAACTGATACCGGACAATGTAATTGTAACACCTTAGGCGAATCCAAAATCGACAAAGTACGAGAGAGATTCATGGTTCATAAGTAAGAAACCGGTCATAACTGACAAGACGCGTTTTGGGGTGTAGGAGGAGTTCTTGTGAGAACTCCGAAGTTAAACATGCTCAGTGTGGAGTAAACAAGGATGGGTGACCTTATGAGAAGTCACCCTGAATTGCACCCCAAGTCAAATGTGGTGTTACGAGTGGTATCAGAGCCTCTCCGCGTCTCACTTGAATGATGGTGGGGCAAACCTCAATGAGGGCGATGAGTCCTAAGGATGGGTGTATGTAACACCTTAGGCGAATCTCACATCGACAAAGCACGGGAGAGATCCATGGTTCATAAGTAAGAAACCGGACTTAACTGACAAGACATGTTTTGGGGTGTAATGGAGGAGTTCTTGTGAGAACTCCGAAGTTAAACGTGCTTAGTGTGGAGTACAACAAGGATGGGTGACCTTATGGGAAGTCACCCTGAATTGCAACCCAAGTCGAAAACCGCGCAGGTGTATTGACTCAAAGCGAACAGTATCTTGTCGGGAAAAGGTTCGGAATGTTACAGTAATTGTGTGAGTAGATTTTTTCCTTGGTCTAGGATGAACCCGCGTGTACGTGGGCACCGGGCCGTGCCGCCCACGGGCTAGCACGACACGGCACGGTTAGAGCATAGCACGAGCACGGGCACGAAATAAATGGGCCAGCCCGGCACGAGCACAAATAATTTATGTGTCGTGTCGGGCCAAACTTCATGGGCACGGGCACGGTATATAAGTGGGCCGTGTCGGGCCTAATATTTTCTAGACTTTATTGAGTATAAGAACGGACATGGCACAAAAATAATATTTATTTGATAGAAAATAAATATAAAAAGAATTATAGGTTCAAATATTACAAAACACAAGTAGAAAAATAATTATTTGTTGTTGTTAGAAGTGTCATAAAGATATATACGTAATTACTAACATAAGTAAAAATGGACAAAGAATTAAACAAAGTCAAATCACACTCGCTATACTTCCAATTTTCTTTTTCCCCCTTATTTGTTACTTTTCTCAAACATTATCGATTAATACTTCTTCCTCAGTCCAGTTTTCACCTTCTTTTTCATTCTCTCTTTTGTTTTCGTCCTTTTCATTAAACACGAATACGAGCATGGCACGAGCACGAATAGGCACGGCACGATTCGAACTGTGCTCGGGTCTGGACCGGGCCTAGCAAAGTTAACAAATGGGCTTGCATGGCACGGTACGAAAACTGACGGGCCGTGCCAACCACGACACGAAATAAATGTGTCCGAAGCGTGCCCGTGCCGTGTCGGCCCAGCGCCCATGTATAAACCCGCGTTGGTCGCAGAGGGACTATATGATATGTTCCTTTTAAGGATCAGCACATGGTTTACAGCAGCTGCAGATTTTGTTATGATTTATCATGTCTGGGGATTATCATATCTACTGTTCACATTTGGGGGGTGAGAAATAGGCCAAGTCATTGTCTATGATTAATATAGAAAGATACACACACCTTCGAGACCTAGTGGCAAAGCACCAATGTGACAACCGACGACAAAATCCAAAAGCAATCATACACCAAATAAGTAAACAAGTTGGAAACAATTGGAAACTAGCCAGCCCTCAATCCCACCTTAGCTAAGCCCGGTACCTGAAAGCAAGCCTTCTTGCACCATTCACCTCAACCAGGAAGAACTGTGTACTTGTGAAAACCTTAGAGTTCCTCGGAAAGGGAAGTCGGATAGGGTAAAGATAGTTCGGGGTAGTGTAAGAACTCTGGTTGCCGTCGTAATAAGCCATCATCGCCAAGCGGCCTCCTGGGTGAGCTATCTTCACAAACCACCAGTTATCTTTGTCGAATTGCCCAGGCTGACAGACTGCACCGGTCTTCGGGGGAGGTGGCCAGTCGTTGGGCTCTTCATTCACCACAAGCCAATTTATCATCGGGAACGGCGAGGAGCTCGCGTTGGTACTCGGCTCGTAAACATAGTAACAATCGCTCGGTACCTCGACTTTGAGGCTGCCCCAACTGTCTCGTGGCATAGGCCGTCTTGTGCGTACATCGACTGTGTATTCCTTGAGGAACTGTGTCGCGCCTGTCCAAACCCATGGTTGGTTGCGACGTTGCTCCTGCTGCTGGAGTTGTGACAGTTGGTCTCTTACCATTCGTGTTTCAGCTGCATTCGCCGCCTTCAATTCTTCCTTCTCTTTTCTTAGCTTTGTGCATTCCACGTCCTTCTCGGTGATCGACTTCTGCAGTGCTTCCTTATCCTTCTTCAACGTATGCCATTCACCATTGTTCACCAGTATTTTCCCGTTCGTTGCAGTTGCAGCTTCACTCCCCTGACTAGCCTTTTTCAAATTCTCCACTTGGTCCCTCAATGTTTTTAATGCCTCGTCCTTCTCTCTGATCAGCTTTGCACCGTCGTCCTTTTCTTTTTTCAAAATCTTCAATTCATCATTCTTACTCTTTAACTCCTCATCTTTCCTCTTCTCCAGCATTTGCAACTCGTCACCTTTCCTCTTCACCATCTCTCTCAACTCCTCGTCCTTTTTCTTTTCCAACTCTCGCAGCTTCTCCTGTTGCTGTTCACTTGGGTCCACCCTCTCTTCCTTTAACGTTTGTATCTCCTTATCCTTCCTCTTTTTCAGTATTTTTAACTCCTCGTCTTTCTTCTTCAACGATATTCTCAACTCCTCGTCCTTTTCCTTTTCCAACTCCCGTAGCTCCGCCTCGTGTTGCTCACTTGCATCCTCCTTCTCTTCTTTTAGCAGTTGTATCTCCCTCTCTTGTTCCTCCATCTCCTCCCTCAGCTTTCCCAACTCCTTATCCTTACTGCTCACCATCTTTTTTAACTCCTCGTACTTCTCCTTGCTCACCGCTCCGCTCATCACCGGTCGCTTCTCCCTTTTCGGTATGATATACTTTAACACGAGGCGTCGCCACATAGTAACGCCCACCATGCTGACCCCGTGATCCGTCCAATTGAAGAGATCATTCAATCGAAGATAGTGAATCCCGAACTCTTTGTGTTCTCCCAATTCGGAGACATCTTGATAGATGTGCCCTTGGGGGCTCACTATCAACCGCAGGCGGGTGAGGTGTTGGGCTAGCTTGGTCAACGCCTCTTGTCCCTCGATCTTCCCGTGACCATCGAAGAACATCAGCCCGTTGTAGGACTCCTCCTCCTCCTCATCTGCTGCTGGATCGTCTGCGTCGGAATCGCTTTGGTCCTTCTCGTCGTCGCCGCGATCACGATGATATGGAGCAAGAGTGATGTTGGCGACTTCCCTCCAATGAGTCTTTCTGATGCGGGAAGGATGGATGGTAGGGTTGGTCAGCTCGTATACATGAATGGTAGTTTTGTCAAAGGAAGCAACGAAGTGCTTGTCTGACTTGAAATCAAAGAGAACCATAGGATCGAGATGAGGTTTAGAGAATTGGATCTAATGCTAATTTGCTCTCGATTGGAGGAGATTGGGAATGGAATTGTTGAATTTGTATTAATATGCAGCAATGCCTTAGCTCCTAAGTATTATTATCTATTTTAAAGAGAAAGAGTATTTATTGCACACTTTCTACGCGCTAGTCAACGAGTAGATCTTATCATTTTAACGGTGAAATATTAAAAAAAAAAGTAATGACTTTGATTAATAAATAGTACAAAATGTAGTCATTTTTAAATGTTTTCGCATTAACAGCTAAGCCAACATCCCTAACCATCATTGTTATCAATAAAAACCCCTAATAATCACATACTTAAGAAAGTCTTTAGTAAATATATTTAAAAAAAGACTTCAGCCACCGGCGTGGTTGGTCAGTCACTCCACGCGGACATGATTCAGTGACTATGAGTATAGGTGTCAAAACATAGCCCGACCCGATTAATCCGCCCGATCAACCCGACCCGCAACCCAACCCGCAATCCGAATTGACTAAAAGTCAACAACCCGTAACCCGTCCGACCCGCAACCCGATTGACCCGCAACTCAACTAACCCGCAACCCGACTGACCCGCAACCCGATTAACCCAAACCCGATTGACCTGCAACCCGACTGACCCGCAACCCGATTAACCCGAACCCGACTAACCCGTAACCCGACCGACTCAACCCGAATTTCATCTAATCCACTTGAATAATTATAAAAATATACAATACATAGTTTTTCAAAATAAAGTTTTTCATTCTAAACTTAAGTAAGATTATTTTTTCATTTCGTATAAGAAATTTAAAAAATATGAAACTCACTTGATATTACGTATGTTAAGAAAATTACCAAAATTGAAACATGAAGGTCACTTGAGATCATGAAAATATTAATATAATATATAAATTAAAATTTTGGTTAATTTAACTATTCAATAAAATTATCAATTAAATATAAATAAAGTAAAGTAATGTATTTGGTAATTTGATGTTTTTAAAAGAAGAGGGAAATTTTGGTGTATTCAAGTTTTTTGGAAGAGAAAGAAGAGGGAAATTTGGTTCTTTGAATTTTTTTAGAAAAGAAACAAGTGGGAATTTTTGTGGTTTTGATATGTGGGAAGAGAAAGAAGTGGGAAAGTTTGATTTTTTTTATTATGAAAGAGAAATAAAGAGCGAAACTTTTGACTTTTCAACTTTTTGTAGAAAGAAAGAAGAGGGTAATTTGTTTCTTTCAATTTTATGAAAGAGAAAGAGGAAGGAAAATTGAGTTTTTCTAATGTATGGAAGGAGAAAGAAGGAGGGAAATTTTAGTATTTTGTGAAAAGAAAGAAGGAAACAAATTTGGTGTTTTCAATTTTTGGTTTTTCATAATTTTAGCTTTTGAAATATGAATCTTTAACTTTTATATGGAGGGCATGACTAGTTAAAATTATTCTTATATGCTTTGAAGGCTAATATGTATATATGTATGTAATTGTTTATGGGCTAATAAATGAATTAACCATTAGTTACAACAATTTATACTAAATTTGATAAGTAATCTTTGACGGTTCGTTGTTTAGGATATAAAGTATATGGTTAGGGTATAAGGTATAAGGTATAAGGTACATATGGTTTAGGGTGTATATGGTTAGGGTATAAGATATTGATGGTTTTGACGGTTCTAAGTTTTTTTATTAACATATGTTCACTTGAAGTCATTTGAAGTCTTTAACGGCAGGACATCCCTTTTTAATTTATGTGTATGGTACGTGGTTAGGGCACAAGGTATGTGGTGTAAAGTATAAGATATATGGTTAGGGTATAACAATTAGCAAATATCACTTTTTATCTATGTTTTGAAAATCAAAGTATGAATTTCACTTTTAAATTAACTATACTAGCAAAATCACAACTCAAGGACATATGATTAGGGTATAGGTTATGTGGTTAGTGTATAATGTATTGATGGTTTAGGGTATACAATCAACAACATATACTAACTTAATATTGTTGATTGAGGGTAAGGCTAAGTGTATAGGATATATGTTATTGAGTAAGTTATGATTGAAGTCACAATAATTTTACTAAATTTGATAGCTAATCTTTAATGGTTTATTTTTTAAGATAATTCGAACAATTTTACAAATAACTCGTTTGGCAACAGTTTACTGAAGTTATTTGGGCAATGAGTTATTTTGAAATAACTCCTTTTATCACTATGCTTTTGCCAATTACCACACGCCAAATACCAGATTTGCATGGTTATACGAAACGAGATACTTTAATTCAATTACTACTGAATTAATACTAAAATATCAAATAAACAATTAACGGTGTCTTTTGGTTGCAAATATTGATATCACCATTACTATTAGCTATAATACTTTACCAATTATGATTAATTACATAACAAGTTTGCAAGTCATACAAATTGATTAAAAATTTTGACTAGTTTTTTTCAAAAAAATAAAGTATATATATACAAGGTGGAAATAAATTGGTTAAAAAGTTGAGAAAATATTTTAAATTAGTGTAATAAAATGTGTAAGTTGGTAATGAGTAATGAGTTAAGTTACTTGATGCGCTGGCCCGAACAACCCGAAACCCGACCCGCCCGCAACCCGCCCGACCCAAAACCCGATGAACCCGCAACCCGATTGAACCCGAACCCGCAACCCGACTAACCCGCAACCCGTTTGAACCCGAACCCGATGAACCCGCAACCCGACTAATCCGCAACCCGTTTGAACCCGAACCCGATTGAACCCAGCCCGAACCCGCCCGAACCCGCCCGATTGACACCTATAACTATGAGTATGATATCTATCTATGATTAGATTAGATTCTAATCTAACATTTTAAGCTTAGGAATTAAAAGGAGACTAAAAGGGATATTAGGAAGTAGGGATGGAAATTAAATCCATGGTCGTGGTATCCAACTGTCTCCGACCCAGTCAATGATGGGAATTCCCGAAATATAAATTGAAAATTTACATGTAAAATTTTAGGTATTATAATGTTGGATGTACGAGGCGGGTATTACCCATGAGTATCCAAAACCTACGGGTATGGGGCGAGTATGGATTTGGATATTTGAAATGGGGGATGTGGATGGTTTTGACAAACATGCCCCAAACCCGCCAACTTAGAAAGTGAAAAAATTAGATCATTTAAAATCAAAATGATAAGATACTAGCTTTGAACCCGCACGTTGTGCCGGTGAATTCCATTATTAATTTTTTATTAACACTAATCAATTTTATTTAGTACATTAAATATTTTGGTATGTCATTCTATTTATTTTTGTAATAGCATTATTCAAAATTGTATAAAGGTATAAGTGTTTTCCAACATTCATAAGATTTCTTGTGTAACTTGTGGTTATAAACTATATCTTTATGAGTGGAGATCAAAATAATTAAATTTTTTTTAATTTTCAATTATGTTGGATAAATTGTATTCAGAGCTATATTACAATATTTTGCATAGTTATAGCATCATATTTTTTTACATGTTGATAGTGGAATTTTTCTAATAATAGCACCTTTAAAAAAATTACAAAAATAGCACCCATATAAAAAAATTACAAAACTAGCACCAATTTTTTTGGAACGCACCCCTAAGATGCGTTTTACAGGTAAAACCCACCGGAAAGATGCGATCTACATATACAACGCATCAGAGGGGTGCAATCCATATAACAAATCGCAATACGTCGGTGCGATTTGGGGAGGACGCGGAACGATCTTCAAGATCGTTGGATGGAGGGACGATCGGGCGGCTCAGCGCATGCCAGCAGAGCGATCCACGCCGAGGATTCCAGATCGCTTGCCAGCAGAGCAATCCACGCCCAAGGAAGCACAAATCGCATCGGAAGGGAGCAATCCGCGCCTAGGGAAGCGCAAATCGCATTGGAAGAGTGCGATCCGCGCGAGGGCAAAATTACCCGATCGCCCCTGGAGGGTGCGATCTGATGGGTATAAATACCCCCCCCCCCTTCCCCTCTCATTTCTTCGCACCACAACCCATTCTTCCTTCTCTCTCTACAATTTATCTCTCTAAACCCTCCCCCTCCCAAAAGCCTAGGAAATAGTGGTCTGTTGGTTGCGGCTAAGTCCGATATGCAATCAGAAAACGTTTCTTAGGTTTTTTCCTCAAAACCCGCCGAGCCGAGCCGAAGCTCTGTCCGAATTGCGCCGAAAAAATGGCCGATTGGTGGCAAGGAGAAGGAGTTTTTGTTGATGAATTTCAAGCGGTACGTACTCATTATTCGGGTTTAATTTTTGTTGTTGTTATAAGCTTTTTAATTAATCTATGTACTAACCTCGTTGTTATTTTATCGTAGGTTGGGGAGGACGGGGATATTTACAACCAACGGTATTATCTCGAGCAAGGACCGTTGGATCCAACCGACTTGTACGAACAACCCAACCATCGGTCAAGGGATGTTTGGAACGCTCACCCGGTACATACAATTCTTTACCATTTGTCCTTCTTTTATTTTGTTAATGTATTTAGTGGAATTTATTTTGAATTTTTAATCGTGTTGGTTGTTTTCAATAATTTAATCGAATACATAGCGCCACTTACTTCGACTCTTTATAAAGAGATGCGCGTCTAAGGAAATGGGGTTTTAAGCGATTATCATATCCTCCCATTCCCTGGGAAAATCGGGTATTAAGAGATATTCCTCATGCCACAATGACCCACTTTCTCTGTTTGGATATCGGTACACCATACGATCAACTCTTCTCGTGCCATCCATGCAAGTAACGTTAGTGCACATTTGATGGAGGTCTTCAAGCAGCGGTCTGGTAGCGACCTTTATCTTCTGAAAATTGCCACCTACGTAGGTGACCCCCTTTCCGGTCTCTTCCGTGTAACCATTCCACCGTAAGCCAAGCGTGAACTTTTGGAATGCCATCTGCGATAAAACCGTAGTTCAGTTAATATTATAAAAATAAAAAAATAAAAAATAACAATAAAAATTAATACTAAATCAACTTACGAGTTAACGTTAATCGCAAAACTACTAAAGAAATATAGAGCTACAACAGAAAATTGAA